ATAAATAATTATTTGAAAAATGAAAAAAAAAGAATATGGAAATGAAGGCAAAGGGCTGTGTTGTCTGCATTCATTGTGTAAACAGAGCCTAGAAAGTTGTTAGGTGCCAGTGGTGTCTGCTCACTCACAGCAGCCTGTGTAGAACAGTAGAGCAGCTCTATGTAGAACAGCCTGTGTAGCACCTAGCATCCTCCCCACTTCTGCTCTGCTTGAGCCCATTATTACAGTCGCTGCCTTAGTCGATCCTTGGCTTTGAGGACCTCCTGTCCTGTGATGAACCTCTAGTTTTCTCTGGGAAGAGAAACTTTTAAAAACCTGGAGTTCTTATGGCCCCTTTTAGTACTTTTTCTTTTCTCTGTTGGAGTAAGATGCAATCCTTCATCCTTTGTCGTTTGAGGTATCTTGAGAGCTCTTTGGGTATGTGTGTGCTTACTGAAGACCAAGGGTAAGCACCCTGTGGTGCCTCAGATCCCTGCAGATTTCATCTGATCCTTGGCTTATACTTTGGGGAGTTCCCCATAATGCATGTGCCACTTCTACCATCAGAGAAACTGCCTGTCCTTCAGGTTTGCAGCTTTCCCTAGAGGCCTGTTTCCCAGGCTTGTTTGGAGCCCAGAGGAGTTGGCATCAAGCCTGCTGAAGTGAGTTCAGCAGAGGAGCCCAGTGCTATTATACCAGGAAAGGAGGCATGCTAACCAGACAGTATTCAAAACTAGACAAGTGCCTCTGACATCATTGCCAACCAGCAGCCCCTGAGGCACATGTTGGTGCATTTTTCTTGGATTAGAAAGAAAAAGATGGCTCCATCTTCATGGGACTTTAGGTCCACTCTCCAGAGGGAAGAAGCATGGGAAGTGGTTGGCAGATGGTCCAGAGGAGAAAATGTTGGGGAAGTGTGGTGCCTTCAGCATCTACTTCCTGTCAAGGTTCATCCAGCAAGCCCACCAGTGCCCACAGGGGTGTACGGCCTCTGCCAGTGTGTGTGTCATGCTTTTTGGTTTGGCCAGCCAAAGAAGTTCATTGTTCTTAAAGGCCAGCAACAGTAGAATCCTTTTGTTTCTCCTGTCAAGAAATAGTTTACACTGTTCTCTAATTCTGTAATTTCTCTGTCTTCACCACCAGACTTCTAGAAAGTTCTAGCAAGGCCCCACTTCATATGTAATATGTCTCCATGAAATCACCGTGAGTCAGTCCAGAGTGCTGCATAGGGCATGTCTTCTGCCTCACTGCTCCTACATTGGCATATTCTTCTCTTCCCTCTCTTCCTTCGACATTTTCTCTTGCTCAGAGCCCTCCAAGCACCTGGTTAGGAAAAAACTCACAACTCTTTGCCATCCTGTCTGAATGAAATCATAGCTGACCCTCCATTGGGTTTCCAAGGCTGTAAGTCGTACAAGAGAAGACTGGCTGCCATCTTTCTCCCACGGAGCAGCTGGTGAAAGGCTGCTGCAGAAAGACGCAGCCTCTCGTTAGCAGTGCGCCGCTCCACACGCTCACCCCCAGTGCTCCCCCAGCCCGCACTTCAGACAGAGCTGGGCTTCCAATGTCCGTAAGGCTCAGGTGTCTGGCTTATTCAAGACAGTCCAGCCAGGGTTCACCTGAATCACAGCAGGTAGTCTTCTGCCTGTGCATGCAGGTAGCACCTGTACAATAAGAGGACTGAGAAACTTTTTCTTGAATAATTTTATCATTAAAAAATAATTAAAGTACACAGAATTGTTAAAAGAGAGGCAAATAAAATGGCACAGAGAAGAAATTTGGTCATATTTAAGCCAAAGGTCTCTGATTGCACACGCCCTGTCCTGGTCTTGTTCCTCCCAAGCCCCTCTCTTTTCTTCCCACTTCAAGCACTACTCCACAGATCATTTCCTAACTTTTCTTAATGTCCTGTTTCATTCTGTCAACATTTACTGAGGTCTTTTGCAGCAGTGAATGTAGAGAACAGTTCAAGTGAGAGAGAGCACCTCAGAGTGGCATTGCACGCTGCCCAGCGACTGTGCGCATGGAGGGCAGTGAGCAGGCTGACGTAGTGTGACAGTGTGCACAGTCAGCTCGCAGTGTGGGGCAGTTCACAGAGGGGCCCTAATTTCTGAAAGAAGGTGTCAATGGTGTCATGGAAGAGGCAGATGGGAAGTGTCAGATGGTAAAGATAATGCCTTCATTGTAGCATTCATGGGCACACTGATTTTGGAGGTTCCAGCAAAGGATGGCAGGAATGTAGAGATGAGAATCCACACAGGAGCGAGCACTGGACCCCAGGGGCAGGAGTAGGTCTCAAAACATAGCAGTAAAGAAGGGACTACATATACTCAAGAGGGAGATGGATCAAAGACAAAATTATCAGCTGCCTACACTGTTGAGGAAGGTAGAGGATAATTCTTGGTATAGAAGAAGGTTGTAGTAAAGATGGAGAGTGGACAGCTTAGGCTGAAAAGGAAAAGGTTCTGTGATTAGCAGTGCCATAACTGGAGTCTTGGCATGGCCAAGGGATCTGCAGTGTCATCCAGGCTCTGAACTTGAGGTACTGGGAGCAGTAACTAGAGCTGGAGGAACAAGGGTAGTGGACTTGCCGTGCAAACCAAGGCTCTGGAGTTTGGGGTGTAAGGTGTGGAGCAGGCCACTCTCAGGAGATAAGGAAATTTCATCCATTGTAAAGCAGGGATTGTACAAATTAAAGGCTCAAAAAGGAGGGGAGCAGAGGGAGCGGCATTCCAAATTGGGACAGCATTGTGCTGGCAGGGAATGAAACAGAGAAGACAGAGTTGATCTGAAAATTGTTGGGACAACTGACTATCTGCATGTCCTCTCAGACCTGGAGCCCCCACAAGACAGAGCCTGTGTGGCAGCAGCCTGAACAGTACATGTGGCAAATGTGCACAGTTACTCTCCATGTGTATTTATACTGCATCCCATCTCTGCAGAAAAGTGTGCTAAGGGAAGGGAGGTATTTGATGATGCCCTTGCCTGAGGTATATATATGCTTCTGATTGGACTCCATGTGTTACCTCTTTTAAGCTTGAGTGTATTCTTAAGACAGCACATTAATGTTTATTCTCTTGTTTCCAATCTCTAGCTGCTGACAGTCTTTATAAACTTTCTCTGCAAACCCTCAACGCAGACATTTTCTTGAAACAACGCCAGACCTCACCGACACCTGCCTCACCCTCACTCCCTGCTGCCCCGTGCCCATTTGTGACACGTGGCAGCTATAGCAGCATTGTCAACAGCAGCTGCAGCAGGTAGGCACAAGCTCGCCTGCTCCCTGGATGGAAGCTTTGCCCACAGCCAGGTGCTGCTCACTGTCCCTGCAGACACAGAAGGCAAGGCTGCAGGCTGCCGTCTCCACTCTGCCTGGTCTCTACAGTTCACTCTTCTTCCCACAGTAGCCCTCTCCTCATTCTCACGCTCTGGTTTTCATCACCCGGGCTGAGAAGCACGTGACTTCTCATACTAGAATTATATCCTAAATCAGGAGTCGGTGAGCCTACATGTAAGAATGATCTGAGGATGACAAGATTGCCTATGGGTTGAGGCTGGGATTTCTTGGACATTAATTTTCTCTTTAGCTTGATAGTTCGGAGGGCAGTATCTGAAGCACACTCTGCTTGACTGCCCACTCTTAGATGAAAGTTAGATTTGTGCTTTGCACCTTATTTTCTCTAAAATGAAGGTAGTGTGTTTCACAGGGATTGTGAAGACTAAATGATTCTGCATGTAAAATGTTTGGAGCAGTTCCTGGCAAATGCTCCATGACATCGGTTAGGCATAGGGAGCCCTGGAGCCTGGAGCCTGACCTGTCAGCTGAGCTCCTCTCCAGACTTCACGTATCCTCGGTGGTTAAATGCCCACTGCTAGTGGGAGTGTAAAAGTGGTACTGTGGAGGGTGATTTGGTGCTTTCTCAGAAAGTCAGAAATAGAAATACCATTTGCCTCTGCATTTCCACTACTGGAAAAATACCCTTAAGAAACCAGAACCACAACTCAAACATGTGTATACACACCCATGTTTATTTCTGTATTATTCACAATAGCAAAGCAACCCACGTGCCCATCAAAACGAATGGATAGAAAAACTATGGTACCTTCACACAATGGAAAACTATGCAACATTAAAAAATACAGAACTCATAATACATTATACAACAAGGGGTAGCCTAGAGAATATTCTGCAGAGTGAAATATTTCAGTGTTGTTATAAAATAGGACCTGAGGGGTTGGGAAGAGAATGGAAAAAGAATGGTTAGATAATGAACACTCCATTGAAACAGATGAGGGAAAGAACTGTCCAAAAGAAATAGTATGAGAACAGTCTGGAATAAGGGCTACATTGCAGGGTGGGCTGGAGGAGGGGAAGGAGAAAATATGCAACGATGAATAAGGAAAAATAATAAATATTTTTAAAAGAAGAGCCTAAAAAAACAGCCATTGAGCTATTCCCACATGGTAGCATTATCTAGGTATTGTGCAGTGGTGACCTCATTCATTCTGAACCAAGCATATGATGAGGCAATGCTGGATCCCTGCTTTACAGAAGAAGGAAAGTCCCAGCCCTCCGGTGCCAGAACCACACTCCTCTAGGAGCCCGGCAAGTCCACCCCAAATTTAATTAGAGTCCAACAGAGCCAGAACCAAGGAGGCTGCCCTGCTGCTGGGCCCTCCATGGCCCTGGCCATGCTGACCAAATTGGAAGGAGACTTCTGAGATCTGTGTCCCTAACTTCTCATTCTATTCCACTGCCCCCCTTTTCTCTAGTTCTCTCTGAAATGTGATTGAGTCCTTTCTAGCCAGAAGAACACACAGATTTTTGAGATGTTTTGAAAGTGCAACAGAATGTTCCTTGGAGGCAAAGATGTTGACGCCTCGTCTCACATATTTTGGACATGTTAGGAGAGGCTGTTCCTGGAAAGGGACATCACGCTTAGAAAGATGGAGGGTCAGCGAAGGAGAGGAAGACCCTCAATGAAATGGGTCGATGACCCCCAGTGTGTTGGGGATGATAAGGATGACGCTGTATAGGACAGGATTCAGCTCTCTTGTTCACAGGGTCACTATGAGTCACACTCAGCTGCAGCACTTAACAACAGTTGTTGTCCCCGCCCTAATAAATTTTGTAGTAAGTTTGTTTATTTTCTTCCCTTTCCCAGAAATCGTTTCTATATGATTAGGCAGTTTTGGGTCTCAGAGTGTTTTTCACTCAGGAGGCTCGCTCATGCCCTGGGTCATGCGCTCAGGTCCCTGTCAGGAAATCGCTGAGCCAGCAGGCCCCACTGCCCCCAATGTAAGTGCCCTCTTCTTTGTTTCTTTCTTCAAGTGACTTGAAAACAAAGCAGCCAAGTGGAAGCAAACACAAGCTGACAAAAGCCACCTCGCTCCCAGGAAAGAATGGCAACCCCACCTTTGCTGCAGTCACAGCTGGTTATGACAAGAGTCCAGGTAAGTGGCTTCACATCACGAAGACCCATCATCCACCTTTGTGTTTGGCCTGAGTGGCATTTGTGACCCTTGACTGATTCGGGTTCCATTGTTACAGGTGGCAATGGCTTTGCTAAAGTGTCTTCTAGCAAAACCGATTTTTCCAGCAGCCTGGGCATTTCCCACACTCCTGTTGACAGCGATAGCTCAGACAGGTAAGCAGACAGACCACTGTCATGGAATAGGGATTAAGAGGTAATTTATGGTGCTAGAGAAGAGTACAGAACATACTGTGGACTGCCAAGAGAACAAACAAGTCTGTCCTGGAGAAGATGAAGTCTAGTTGCTTCTTAGAGGCAAGGCGCGTGAAGCCCCATCTCACATACTTTGAGCATGTTGCCAGGAGAAGACCAGTCCTTGGAAAAGGACATCATGTTTGGAAGGGTGGAGCAGCAGTGCAGGAAAGGAAGACCCTGGATGGATAGCCATGGGGGCTGGTGAAGTTGGCTCAGGATGGGGTGGGAATCAACGCTTTTGTGAGTCGTAGTCAACTCAACAGCACATAACAACCACAATAGAAAAGCTACTTAAGTCAAGTTAGCATCCTCTGTCTCTCGATGTGCTTTTTCAGACATTTCTCCCTAAATCACCAGTAGACATTTGTCTAAATGACTGGCTCTTCTAAGTTGCTTGCTTTTTTTCTAAAAGAACGGGGCGGGGGGAAAATTCAGTTCCTTACATTACTTGAAAGAAATTTCTACTGGTAGAAACGGAAAAGCCTCCTTTCTCCTCTGTATGCTTGGTGACATTTCTCAGTCAGTAAAGGCTCAGCAGAGGAGCAGCACGATCCCCATGTTGGCTGGCTCCCTCTTCCTCCTCCACCAGGATTGGGCAGAAAGGGGGTCCATAGAGTCACTATGTGGTAGAACCAGCTGATAGCACATAACAGCATACGAGAGGATGTAATCTGATCATTACAGATGGAAAAACAAAAACGTATCTGAGAAAGGAAATCAGAACCAGTACGGATTTGTGTTAAAAGCCACTTTCTTGACCAGCAGCTGCTTGTTTCCCGACAGCGGATGTGGGGCATGCCCGAATCATCCTAACTGATGTTCCTCACTACATAGCAAAAGTAGTCTAACAAAGCCATCAGGAAAGCCTCAATTTTACCTACTTTGGACTGAAAGGAATTGAGTCTTAGATTTAAAACATTCGACTAAAGTTTTCATGACCAAATCACTTTTTTTCTGTCAGACTCTTGCTCTGACCCAAGTTCTCTGCTAGTGATCAGCCATTGGGAGCCTCGGGTTCTCTGATATGATTGGAAGCCTTTCGCAGGTCTCCCCGCCTCCTTTACCGAGGATGCTCCAGTCTCTGAAGTGTGCACTGAGCCGTCCTCGCTAACCATCACGTGTTTCCCTTTTGTGATCTCTAGCTCGTGTTTGTGGAGTCCTGACAGCAACCCCAGCAGCCCTGACCTCACACCCCTCAACTCATTCTCGGCCTTTGGAAATTCTTTTAATCTGACTGGTGGTGAGTATCTATAACTAAGCCTGTAGACAAGGAAGTGGGAAGAGCTGCCCTACGTTTATCTGTTGGTACAAGAGCGGGCAGCCTGCTTGGTGGAGCAGGCATGTGTGGGCAATGCATCCAGCACTAGAGAGGCAGGTGGAAGGGCTGGATTGAGGGAAGCAAGTGTGGCTCCTGCTTCCCTGAATGTGTTCTCGGACTTCTGTCTCCACACACCCCGGTACTGTCTGTTCAGAGTGCAGGCTGGCCCCAAATCCCATTTGTTTGAAGGAGCTTCAGGAAAGAAGCCTGTTTGAAAGCTTGGTGCTTGGCTGTGCTGGAGTGTCTCCTAATCCCACCTCCCTATGTGACAGTCTACACTGCCATATTTGGTCACTATCTGGTGAAACCAACTCCATATCGCCTGACAGCACCAGCTGCGTTACCAGCAGACATGTGAGGTGTTCATTAGCTGTGTCCATGCTATTAGAGTGGGGCAGCGCTCACATCCTGATGCATTAAGTAAAGAGAATGGATAAATTGTGCAAATCATGAGCAATGTGCATGCCTCCTGGGGACCATGTCTGCTGTGTCCCCACAGTGCTAGAGGGGTGACTGAGACTGGGAGATGTGTGCTACTGAATGACTGCAGCTAGTCAGGGGATCACTGCAAAATAAAACCACTTGATTTTTGTTTTCAGAAGTTTTTAGCAAACTCGGGTTATCTCGGTCATGCAGCCAAGCCCCACAGAGGAGCTGGAGTGAGTTTAGCAGTGGCCCTTCGTACCTGTGGGAGTCTCCGGCCACAGACCCCAGCCCTTCCTGGCCGGTTAGCTCCAGCCCTGCAGCCTCCACAGCCGCGGTAAGTACCAGGCCGGAGGTGGAGACTCCCTCCCAGCCACCTGCCTGCCACCACCCTCTCCTGAGTGGTCACCAGCACTGGAGCTGTGCTTCACAACAGTGTCAGCTACTTCTAAAGAGCCAGAAGGACTTTGCAGACTATAAAGGACAGAGGCAGTCGTCATTGTTGTCATTGTTGTTAGACACGATCAAGTTTTCAGAGGCAGTTCATCACTTTATCTCATGGATCAGCTGTTGGATTTGAACTGCATGCCTTTGGAATTGCAGCACAGCCTCTTAGCATTAGGCCACCAGCGCTCCCTAGACACCATAAGCAATGGGCAGTGTCCAGTGAGAGTAACTTACCAAATGGACAGAACTGAATTTGGCTGTAGTTTTTCCAACCCTGCTATATAATCTCAGAATCACAGCTCAGGCTCTGGGTAACTGTGGGGATAGATTGTTTTAAAGAAAGTAAACAACAAAGTCTCTGGGCCAGCTCCTACTTGGAGCATTCACTTTGAACTGTTCCCCCACAGCTCACTGGCTTTTCTGTTTTCCCACAGTCCATTCTTGGCAACACCAGTGGCTTATGGTCCACCACCCCGTTCAGCACATCGATCTGGTCCAGCAGCCTCAGCAGTGCCCTCCCCTTCACTACCCCAGCAAGCACTTTATCCAGTATCAGCCTCATGGGCACAGAAGCCTCTCCTGCTCCTTCTCCTTCTGCCTCCAGCCCAGCTGACGACTTGGGACAAACCTACAACCCGTGGCGGATATGGAGCCCCACAATTGGAAGAAGAAGCTCCGACCCTTGGTCTAATTCACACTACCCTCAGGGGAATGGAAATTAGGCAAACATTAAAATAAAGTGGGGGGTCCTGCATCCAGATCATGATATGCCAGTTTTGGAGACATCTTCCTAAGGCTCTTGCTGTTGTAGCTTCCCACTCCCCACCCTCCTCATCTTTGCAAACAGACCCGTGCTGGGCAGGCTTGTACCACTCGCTTCTTTCAGATCTTTCTTGCAATTATGATACTACGAGATTTGCTATTGTGCTTTTAGAGAAAAGTCTGGGCTTAGCTCCTCACTCTGATAGGATCTGCACATCTGAGAACCTTAACTGGTACCATGTTTTCCCACTTGTCCATTTTTCCATGCTTTATTTATCTGTAAAAATACAAATTTGACATCACACCTAAGGGAAAATAATTTGAGTTAATTCAGCAGTCCTGGCATGTGACAATTTTATTAAATTACCAAGTTTGGTTTTTAATAATTTCACAGTATTATGCACTAAGATCAATATTTTACAAAAAGCTAAGGACTTTGTGCTGAAAATTGCAGAGTATTTTTTTAAAGTAAGGCTGTCTTGGTTTAAAAGCAGATTACAGAAATGTAAACGTCAACTTTGAGAACAGTGAATGAATGCAAACACATTCAGTTGAGACCATAGGCATTTTCTGTGCTGTTTGTACTCAGAGTATGTAACATTTGTATACCTGAATTTATTTTCAAGATGAACTGAAATGCACATAACCAAGTCTTGAGATACAAGATTGAATGTGTGTTTCTTAAAAATACAACTTTGTGTTGTACTTTGAAATAAATGATGCTTTTTTCAGAAGTTTGAATTGTATCTTTTTCTTTCCATGCAAAATGTATTTACATGGATTTTGTCCCAGCAAAGTACCATCATAGTACTGATAATTTTGAGTGGCCTGGTCAGCGTGGTCATTGATTTCTCAAAGCCTCTGTTGGCTAACTTAATTCTGTGCATGGTCCTGGCAACTCCTGAGAGTCCTTGGCACATGGAAGACCGTGTGGACTCACCCAGTGACCTCAGCCTTTTTCCTGCACTTACCAAACCGCAGACCCCTTCCTGATTCAACCCTGGCTCACAGCAGCCTCTAGCAGGCTTGGACGACTATAAATACAGCAAGAGGGCAGATGGTCCTGCAGAGCAGCTGGTGCATTCACACTGTCAGCTTTTTAGTTAATAGTTCAGCATGTTACCATGCCATGACCTCTCCTTGTCCTAAATATAAAAGCCTAAAAACAACCCAAAAATCCCACAGTAATTGCTAGTTTTCCATCAATGAAAGAATGAAAACCCAATCTTTCTGTAAACGTTCATTAAAATTACAATTTTTTAAAATAAAAAGGCTGCCCTGAGACTGAGAAAATAAAATACTTCCAGGACATGTGCAACAATGAATGAATGGAAATCCAAAGTCTCTGTAAATTTTTACTGAAATTTATAATAAATTTAAATTTAAAAAAAGTTAGAGTAGGGGAGCTCTGGTGGCCTAGTGGCAAGGAGCTGCAACTACAATCCCAGAGGCGCATGGTTCGAATCCACCATATGCTCTGCCGGGAAAGGAGGGACAATCTCCTCCTGTACCAGTCAGACCTGATTTGACAGTACACTCACACAAAAAAATTAAAAAAAAAAAGTTTAAGGAAGGCAATGGATTTATAACTGCTTATGCTAATAACACTATATCATGGCATGGAGGAGGAATAGTGGAACTTTATCCACATTTACAATATTCTTACCAAAACCATTTATGGAAAATAGGAACTGCATTGGAATATGTATCTCTGGATTGGAAATGATCATACTGATAATATTTCTAGCCTTCAACTTAAAAAATTATACTTTTCAAAATTATTTGTTATATATTTGTTTAAATTTTTCCCTCTTTTAATGACTGGGATCTAGAGGGAAGAGAAAAGACCAGAGAATGGCCAAAATTATTGGGGAAGCTATTGCTGCCAGTTTAGGACCTGTGTCAGGAAAAGGAAGTCTTACTCATAATCAGTGGCACCCAAAGGTAATAAAGGAGGTCAGAATTGCTTCCACTGTGGAAAGCTGGGCCACTTCAGTAGACACTGTCACAGACGAGAGCCACAGATAGGCAAGGGAGTAGAGAGGAAGCTCCCACTCACTTGCTTTAAGTGTGGATCTGAAGGACACTTGTCCAAGGGTGGCTCACATCAGGTCCTCTTGGCTGACAGGACTGACAGGCACCAGCTCCCAGCTGGAAACAAAGAAGGAAGCTTCAACTACTCAGATCCTCCCAGAAGAGCCATGGGTGAGCATTAACATTACTGGTAAGTATATTCATTTTCTCCTGGGCACAAGAGCCTATTATTTGGTCCTAAAAGCCTTCTGAGGTCCCAACTCTTGTCACTATTTCTTAGTTGTTGGAATGGACGGAAAACCTCATAAGCAGTTCCTTACTTCACCTCTGCCTTGCATGCAGACTTCCGAGCTGTAAAACAACCCAGTGGTAGATGGAATTTGGTCTAGGACTTAAGAACAATAAATGACATAGTTGAGCCTCTACATCTTGTGGTTCCTAACCTTTATACTATAATAGACAAAGTGCTATTATTTTAAGAACTACCTTCCCTCTGTAACTTGATTTGTGCCACTGTTAGAACCTCTACTTGGAATATTATTGCTTTTTAATTTTTGGCTCATGTACTTTTTACTTGTTAGTTTAATTTGTGTCTTCTAGGCTGCAACAGTTCCATGATGCATCTTCAAGGATATGAGCATGTATGGCTAAGCACAAATGATAACAGTACATCTAAATTCCAAAATCAGTTTCCACAATGGTCTACGTGTTTCCTGTTGCCAAAGGGGCCCTTTAGTGAGAGAAGATCCTCACCCTGAAACCTACAGCGTCCCTTTTCAGCAGTAAGTAGCTAAGAGAATATGTCACCCCCTTTTCCTTATGAATCAGGGTGAAATCTCTCTCAGAGAGGAGTGATAGGGAATGGCAAAGGACACACTGACAAAGGAGATTAATCAGAACTGGTTTTGACAAGCATAAGTGGCAATGGGACGATTTTAAACTTTCAAGGAATATTCAACCTGAATCCTTATCATATGGAGATTTTTGAAATTATTTATTTGAGTTTATTATGTTTAATTTGTTGTATTTGTTTATTTGTGTATAAAGGATGCTTATTCAGATGATAACATAATTATAAAATCAAAAGGGGAAATATGGAAAGCCAGTACTATTTATAATAAACTGAATGCTATTTAAATTAAAAAAAGGGGGGGGAAATACTTCAGGACCCAGAAGGCACAGTGGTTAAGTGCTTCTTAGCTGCTAACCAAAAGTCTGGCAGTTCACACCCACCCTGCAGCTCCATAGGATGAAGACCTGGCCTGGTCATGTCACAATGTGGCCAAGAAAATGCCATGAGGCTGCTCATCTGTCATAGGGGTCACATAATTAACTCTGCCAGGCACCCGACTGACCCCTGACTCATTTAACCCACAAGCTTTCAGGAATGGAGGGACAATCTTCATTTCCCATCTAAGGAAAGAAAGTCTTTGAAGGGTCACTAAAAATGTTCTCTAGCTGAGAAATGACTGACTGAGGAGCAGACTGATCACAAGTCCACACATTAGCCACTATGCCATGCCACACACTGGTCGATGTCCTGTGGTCTCAAGGCAGCATGTGTCTAGCTCATCGTGTCTTCTGAGATCTGCTAACATTAATCAGGCTGAACTCTGAACAAATTGATCTCAGGGAGAGAGAGGAAGTTGAGAAGTGGGACAGAGTTGTGTCTGAGGAGTAAGAAGACAGAGAAGTGGCACGTTTAGCGGTCTGTGGAAAGGGCCTTGCATGTCACATGTTGGATTTCACTGGCGACTGTGGAGTATCCACTTGCACCCTGACTGGGTTTAATTGCTGGCTTGATAGTGGTCTGATGGGGGATAGCATCAGAGTTGACATCACACCCCACCCATGAGCCCCCTCCCATGTTAGACCCTTAACAGAATTCTTAGAAATGCTTATCAATTTTACACAGAAAAATATGTAATGTAAATGGCTCAAATATACTATTTTGTAAATGTTGGATTGTCAGTAACTGATTGGAAGCCCTTTTTCCTTTTTTAATTACTTAAAATATTGGTATAGATTGAAAAATACTGAATGTATTTTTACATTAACATTGTACTTAAACACCAGAAAAATTGAACAAAATCAGAAACTTTAAGAACACTGTTGTGGAAAAAAAAAAAAAAAAAAAAAGAACACTGTTGTGGTTGTTAAGTGCCGTAGAGTCAGTTACAACTCATAGTGACCCTGTGAACAACAGGTCTGAACCCTGGCCTGCCCTGCGCCATCCTCACCTTCTGATACGTTGCAGTCACCGTGTCGATCCATTTTGTTTAGCTGTTGCTTCTCTTTCTCTGACCCTGCACCTTTGCCTGCATGATATGTAGGAAGTCTACCAGATTGATCCCCTCACAGCTCAGAGGCCTCCCCTGGGCTCTAGGACTCTGGGGCCTTCCACCATTACAGCTGAGACAACTCTCTGCCTTACACATGGCACACACCCTCAGAACAAGGCACCTGAAAGGAAGAGCTCAAATTCCTTACGGTCCGGTCAGAGCCAACCCATAGCTGACTCTCCAGTGAGGTTTAAGAGGCTCAGGAGGAGACTCTGGGTTTGAACTGCCATTTCAACCCCCTATGGCCTAAGCCACCAGAAATCTATTGTAGAAATACACAGAAGCAAGATATTTAGAGAAGCAGGTGTTTTCTATGAACCAAAGAGAGGGGTCTGTCCTTCAAGCTGGTGTCAGCATTTAGAGGAACATTCTAGGAATTCCGAGCCTGCCCTCAACTCACAAAGATGTGTAATCCTAATTCACCCAGTGGAGATAGGGAAGAACTTTGGGAGCCTGCTTTAGTAAATATTACAATCCAGAAAACCCTTCTCCTCTGGGAGAGGAGGTACCCCCACAGAGAGCCATGACGTAACAGCCATGGGTTCCCAAGGGGGGTCGTTTGCAAGCATGTGTCACAAACGGCTTCACTCAGCTCCTCTCTATTCCATCCCTTTTGCCCAGGCCCAGGCCACTGGTGCTGATGCCTGTCCTACTTCTAGACTTTCCCCTAACCTTTTCTCTGTGCCTCAAGCTTGACCATGGGCCTCAATTCTCCTCTGGTCCACAAGGCTGCCAGGGTAGTAGGTTGGGAATGGTAAAATTGGGGTACCCGATGAGGCTACAGTCTCAAGGGACTCAGGAAGCTTGATGGAGCCCAGAAGTCCCAGGCATGGGGAGTCTCAGAATAACTCTCTTTAAACTCTCCCTTCTGCCCCTTCCGAGGTTCTGGGAGAGCTAGAAGCTGGTGGACAGGGAGAGGAAGCACAAGGAGCACCTTGTCCACAGTCTGCTCCCACCTGGTTGGTACATCTCTCTTCCAGATGCTCTGACACCCTCTGCATCCTGGACATTTACTGCTCAAACACTCCTGGTGGCTCCAGGCAGAGAGAAGCACACATGTGTGGGCTGACTAGCAAGGAGGCCACAGAGGGCAGGTCCAGGAACCCTGTGAGGGTGTGGAAGACCTTGCTCAGAGATACTTGGAGAAAAGATCCCCAGTATAGTTCTAGGGTGGACACGACAGGATTCAGGGCAGGGGATCCTTAAAAGAAAGCAGGGATCCCCAGGAGGGGCAGTGCAAGGGGCTGAGGGGACTTTGCTTTGGGAACAGTGACACCTTGTGGTCATCTTTTGTAACTACATCCCTTTCAAAAGAAGACTCCATTGAACTAATAATAGGAGTGCTTGTTTCAGAG